GCACGCATGCACACACGCACGCACACGCACGCACGCGCGCGCGCACACACACACACACACACACACACACACACGCATGCACGCACGCAAGCACACATGCGCGCGCGCGCGCGCGCGCGCGCACACACACTGAGCCCTTCATGGAGTCAGCCAAGGGACCCTGGAGGGGAAGTAAGGCAAAAGAGCAGCATTTACTCCTCACGAGCAGGCTCTAGCATCTTCGCTGTCCACAAGAGTGAGGTGGTCCAGTGAAGTGTGGAGACTGCCTTTGGGATCCTTGGGAGCCGTGGCAAAAGAAGACAGGAGGCAGGCGTGAGCTCCTGCAGTTGCGAGGGAGCATGGCAGCCCGGAGTCCGTCCACAGGAGAGTTACAAGGGGAAGGAGACATTAAAACCGCGCTGCCGCCGCCGCCGCCGCCGCCCCGCCGCCGCCGGGCTGCGCCTGCGGCTCACGGGCAGAACTCGGCCCTGTGCACAAGGCTAGAGGTTCAGTGCCCAGCGCTGGAGGAAACAAAGCCGCAAGAAGTCATCCAAAGAACTAGGGATCTTTAACCTCCAAAGGAGAAACGTTAGGGAGAATAAGTTCTCACTTGGTTTGTTTTGGGTTTGTTTCACTGTATAGCCCAGGCTGGCCTCAAACTCAAGATCCTCTTGAATCCACTTGGATAGTCTCAGTGCTAAAATTACAGGCATGTGCCTAGGTTGAGAATAATTAACTTTCTTCAGAGACTTGACAGGCTCTAAAGTCAACAGTGAAATGAAGTAATCATAACAGGCAACACCCACTGGAGACTTACCCTGTTGAGGACCCATGCTTTGCCTCAGTGATCTAAATATCAACTATTATCCCAAGTCTAAAGGTGAGGGAAATTCAGAAAACTTGGATGACCTGCCCCAAATCATACAGTAAAGAGGTAGAAGGGGGACATAAACCCAGACATGGTGACTTCATCACCAAGCACAGACATGATCCATGAGCCCTTGGCAGAATTGGGAGCCATGTCCAGAAGTTCAAGGGAGATACAAAGGTAACCTGAGGAAGAGTTTTTCAATAATAACTGAGGAATTCAACAAAGACCATCGGGTAAACTACAGAGACACTTGCTCATCCAATTTCAGTGTTTCTCTATTCATAATGCCCAGAAATGGGAAACATCCTGATTGCCCACCAACTGATGAATGGATAATGAAAACATAGTACATTTACACAGGGGAGTATTATTCAGTTGTTAGAAAAAATGAAATTTGCAGGTAAGTAGATGGAGCTGCAGAAATTATCCTGAGTGAGGTAAGCCAGACCCCAAAGGGGAAATAATGTAAATTTTCTCTAGATATGTGTGCTACAATTGGAATAACCAGAGGTTAGTTACCTGGTAATGGCCTGGAGGAGAGGAGAGGCTCTCTCGAGGAAGGGGAATAGAATAAAGCATTGTGGAGAGACAGAGGAAAACTGGAATGGGAGGACTGAATAGGGGGAATGGGACAGAGAAGTAAAGGAAGGAATACGAGGAGGCACAATGAACAGAAGGCCATTTGAAAACTCACTACTGTAGAAGCATCCTAAATATATGCACATATGACAGGGATCTCATCGGAGTCACCAAATAAGAGGGGAGAGGCTGCTCCCACTAAACATCTTGCCATCAAATAAAACCTCCGGGACTAGGAAAACAGTACATGTTGTTGAGTCATTGGCCAAAGGGGCCTTTAATCACAGCACTAGAGAAGGTGAGGCAGGCAGATCCCTGAGTTCAAGGCCAGCCAAGGCTACATAGTGAGACCTTATCTCAAAAAAGGAGGAGGAGGAAGAGGGAGGAGGAGAGGGAGGAAGGGAGAGATGGGGGGGGGACCATTTGCAAGCAATATCACAATAGTGGTGTTACCAAACTTAGGCTCACAGCCTGCACCCTCAAGAAATCAGTTACAACAGCCAAACTGATAGTAAAATTCAGAAAATGGAGTTTTATTCAGTGTATGCACATTGAGAAGAGGGACAAAGATCCAGTGACCCCTTAAAGTCCATCTTTGGGGGCCTGAAGTTTTAGTTTAAACAGAGGGCCCAGAGGCTGGAGAGATGGCTCCAGGGTTAAACACAGTTGCTCTTCTTCTAGAATACCTGAGTTGGTTCCCAGCACCCACCTGGCATCTCACAGCTGACTTTAACTCCAGTTCCAGGGGATCTGCTGCTTTCTTCTGACCTGCAGTGGGTACCAGGCAGGCACACATGTGGTCTACAGGCAAAGAAGCACACACACACACACCCTCATACACATAAAAATAAAAATAAATAAATCCTTTAAAAATAATATAAATAGAGGGCCAAAGATATGCATCTCCAAGCAGTCCCATCAAACTGTGGTTCTGCCCACCATTGATGCATCCCTGTCTGGGCTTCGGTCGTGTCCCATAAGGTGGTCTGACAAGTTATCAGAAGCCTGTGGAATCTTCTGGGGGATCGATCTCTCCCTCAGGCGGGGCTCCTTCTTTTGGCTCCATTGCTCCCGTAGCCTGATAGTCTCCTTGAGAGCCGGTGTCTCTTTCGAGCCTCTTCACGTCTGACAGACCCATCACAGCCGCAGCAGCTGGGGACACAGGAAAACAGCTGCTTGTGCACCCAGAGGATAGATGCTGCACTGGCTGTAGAAAAGGTCTCACGTGTGCTAAGGGGTACAGTGAGGCAGATCGTCCTTTTGGTTAAGAAGTTCATTAGATGAGTTCTTAATGCTGTAGACATATAAGCCGTCAGGCAGAGACCAGCATCGTCTGGGGTGTGAGGAGAATTCAGTCCTCCCTGTTCTCATGAAGGGACAGACAGCATGCTAGGGACACTGATGGACATTCAGGCTTGTGAGCAGAGTGAGGACCTTTCTCTATAGGTCTCAAAGGGGTTCTTTAGCATGCGTCTGAGGTCAGGCTACAAGAGAAGGGTATTCCAGAGAAGGAAGGTGTAACTCCTGGGATGTGGGGGAAGCATGGAGGGGGGCATTCTAGTGGAAGTGTATCCATTATACAGGTGTGTGTGTGTGTGTGTGTGTGTGTGTGTGTGTGTGTGTGTGTGAGCATGCTGTCAGGAGGTGTGTTACTGACTCATAGACAGGCTCTTCTGTAGGGTAACTGTCTCTCTATAGCAGCAGGGACCCCAGAATCCACGTGAGAATAAAGGGCTGTAATCTGAGCCACAGGTCTGGGACTCTGTTTAAGGATCTCAGTCAGCTCTCAGTGAGCTGCTCCTCAGTGGCTGTGAGATTCCAGGTGAGTGCCAACTGATTAGCTATTAGTATAAATCTAAGGCCAGGCCAACTACGCTCTTCCGTTGCTGTTATTATTGTTGTTTTGAGGCCGGGTCTCTAGCCCAGACTGGCCTTGAACTTCTGATCCTCCTCCAGTGCTGGGGTTTCGGATCTGTCCCACCTAATTTATGCCATGTCTGGATCAAACCCGGGGCTTTGGGCATGGTAGACAAGCTCTCAACAGCGATATGAAGTTCCCAGAAAGCAGCCATCCCTACCTTAAAACTGAAACCTACGCAAGGCTGACTGAAGGAATTTCAGTGATTATGTAGTTTGGGATGTTACAGGTCAAGAGCCAATCGACAGCGAATCTGGGACTATCTTTGGCTATCAAACAGCCATTCTTTGCCCAGCTTCCTGACAGACTGACATCTTAAAACCTTTTGGAATGAATTAACAATCCATGAGGCTAGGAATGCTGCTGTGGGCTAGCTCCTAAGGACCCCAGCAGGCTTCTCTCCGCCTCCCTGCTGTTCCCCCCAACTTGATAAGTGCCCTGATCATGATTTTCTGTGTCTAAAAAAACTTCATGAAACAGTTCCCACACCAGAACACGGAACTTGGGGTGGGTGACCCAAGTCTATATCCCCAGGCCATGGTCACTCCTATTTGGTTCCAGAAGACACTCTTATCCCCTTTGTGGTGAGAGCTGTGTTCCCGCATCAACACTGAGCTCCAATTCCAGACCCTCACCTCTGGTAACAAGCCTGCCTGGTAATTTGGACATGCTCACATTTGAGAACCACTAACACAGACACTTCTGTACATCATTACAGACTGGGATTAGCAGACAACTGTGGCTCTTCCTGTCTTTTGATTGTCATTTACTTATTTTAAGATAGGGTCTAGGAGCCCAGGCTGGCCTTGAACTCAAAAGGTCTTCCTGCTTCTGCCTCCCAAATGCTGTGATCACAAACCTGTGACATCGCCCCCAGGTAGTCCTTCCAATTCAGAAGCTCCATAATTCTATAGAAAATAAAAATATGATTTATCATCCACCCAGTTTGTTTCTTTTCTTTTCTTTTTAACGCAGGCAGAACACTTACTGTTCTCTCCACAACAATTTTTGCGACATTGGCAAAATCATATAACTGGATTCAAATACTTTGCCCACTATCACAGGGACAGAGGATAAGAATATTGGGACACCAGAAACCAGGCTACTTCAGCAGTTCACGTCCATGGCATCATCAACTGTGGTGAGAAACACGGAGAAGAGGTAAGAGAGTCTCCTTCCTAACGTGGATTCTCATTAGCCAAGCCCCTGGAATCTACACGCCACACCAAGAAAGGCCCACACTGATGGACGGATACATTTCTGTCTCATCTGAGGATGGCTTCAGTGAGGCAAATGGTGGGACCGCAAACACTAGAGCCCTTTACAGCGTGGGACTACAGACTGTCACAACCATGGCAATAACAACAGTGAGAGAGCTCTACATCAGCCCCGAGAGCATTTTCCCAATGCCACTCCTTCTGACGCTGACTCAAGCTCTGGATAGCCTGGCACCGGTTGGCAATCCTGGCAGTTGGCAATCACAGCAGATGTTTCTGAACCACAGGGCTTCCTGCTGCGCTGGGTTCAGAGTGGAACAGGTCTGCCGCCTCTCAACGACTCCAGATCAAAAGGTACTCACAGGAAAAGACGCAGAGCCTTTATCCCCGAGAGCATGCTCTGTCTTCACATCTTCTGGTCATTTCTATTACCAGTGTCATCCTCATCAGTTAGCAAGTGAAAAATCTTCATTGCCTAAGGTAAAGGGACCTATTTCAAAGGGGTGATTTTTCTCAGCTCTCTTAGAACCTTAGTGTATTCTAATAAGAGCCGAGTGGGGAGAGGAAAAACTATAGGGGTGGAGGAAAGAAAGGCAGGAAGACCCCCTAGCTGCTAAAAACCCATTCTGTGGTTTTTCAAAGATCAAATATGAGAGTGAGGAGAGTATGAGCTATGGCGGAAGTGGGGAGACAGTTTTTTAGCAAGAGAAGAAGAAAAAAAAAAGCCAGTATAGGAATCAAGAGCAATCAACGTGAGCCCCCAGCTTGAGAGCGAGGAAGAACTTCTGTCCTGAGGTAAAAAGGCCTGTTGGGGACCTGGGCTCTGGGAGGAGAGAGGGAATGTTTGACAGACTTGCTCACAGGAGGGCACGGAGTAGCTTGCTTCTCAGAGGGAAATAAGTGTTTTCTGCCCTCCGAAGCCTGAGAAAGAGACAGGCTACTTATGGCGGTGGGCTGGCATGCTCACCCTTCTTAGGGCTTCAAGTCCTTGGCTGGTTCAGACCAGGGTAAAGAGCCACACCACATTCATGGGAGGGAAGTCTCCGTGAGTGCTTTCGAGTTAAGCTTAGCTCACACACGCTGTGCTGAATCCTCCAGGCTGCTCTCTTCGGTTCTGTGTTCATGTGAAGGCAGTGGACGAAGGATGCACATTTTTATAAATATGAAGGCGATGAAGAGTTACCGCAAGAAAGTTACCAAAGGCTGTCAAGCCTTTGCTAAAGCCCTTGGGTCTGGACTGAGTTGTGAGCTGCCTCTGTGAGGCATCTCTGAGGGACATTCATGTCCTCTGTGGTGTGCCCTGGAGGTGACACAAACAGGGAGGCCTCTAGCCGTGGTGTGGTTTGGGCAGAGTAAACCTCTAAATCCCTGGGTTTTAAAAAATGTCATAATTTGCCCCAAGTTCAGTTCCAGCTACATCCTTCAAGTATGAAGAACCCTCTGCCTGTGAATCAGAGCTGGTTGCTAACCTAGGGTGTGTGACCCTCCACAAGGTCAGATCACAAATGGGATTTGTGAGTCTGGGGAGAAAACACATCTTGATTTTGTCAGTCTCTACTAGGGAGTTGGTATTTGCTTCCATTAAAAATGCAGGCAAGGAGCCAGGTGTGGTGGCGCACGCCTTTAATCCCAGCACTCGGGAGGCAGAGGCAGGTGGATCTCTGTGAGTTCGAGGCCAGCCTGGTCTACAGAGTGAGTTCCAGGACAGCCAGAGTTACACAGAGAAACCCTGTCTCAAAACAAAACAAAATAAAACAAACAAACAAAATGCAGGCAAGGAACCAGTATAGAATCTGCTGCTAGCAGAAAGCACGATGTCCTCGAGTCTTTGGGCAGCTGTTACATTTCACGGAACTAGACGAGGGCTGGAGTTTCTGCTCAGTGGCCGAGTGTGCCTGCTCCTTCGGAGGACCCGGCTCACTCACGTGGAGGGCCGCGACCCTCTATAACTCCAGTTCCAGGGGATCCAATGCCCTCTTCTGGCCTCCACAGGCACCAGGCACACAAATGGTTCCCAGGCATGCATGTCGGCCAAACAACTATACACATAAGATAAAACATTTACAATTTAAAAAAAGAAATTATGATAGTTATCAGATGGACATGAGGTCTGAAGAAGGACATGTTTCTCTATTATTATGCATTCCTAGAACTGTTCTAACAACTGTCTTCATAGAATTTGTTTCCTTAGTTATCCTATACATTTTGTTTTATTAATTCTAGGCTGTTTTTTTATTTTATATGTTATGAATGTTTTGACTACACACATGCCACACATATGCACCACATGTGAGCCTGGTGCCCACAGAGGCCAGAGGAGGGTGTTGGGTGCCCTCAGACTGGAGTTACAGACAGTGGTGCCACTCTGTGGGTGCTGGAACCCAGCCCTGTCTTCTGCAAGAATAGTGTGCTATTTCTCCAACCCATCTTATTAATTTTTTACAAGAGCATTTTATGTGCGTCTGTGTTTTTGCCATGGGTATCGGGGTCACCTGAAACTGGAGTTAGAGACAGGAGTGAGCTGCCTTGTGGGTACTGGGAATTGAAGTCGGGTCCTCTACAAGATCAGTCATCGCTCCAGCCCCACAAAGAGCATTTTAACTAATTTATTCCTTCACACATAACTGAACGTAATTTACTATTGTAAAATAAATTAGAAGGTAGAAAAAGTACATTGTAACTGTATATAAAACTGTACAGGTGCCGGGTAGTGGTGGCGCACGCCTTTAATCCCAGCACCCGGGAGGCAGAGCCAGGCGGATCTCTTTGAGTTCCAGGCCAGTCTGGTCTACAGAACGAGGTCCAGGATAGGTTCCAAAGCTACACAGAGAAACTCTGTCTCAAAACAAAACAAAACAAAACAAAACAAAACAAAACAAAACAAAACAAAACAAAACAAAACAAAACAAAACAAAACAACAAACTGTATAGGTTTGGAGATATATTCTACAGGGTTGTGAGCTCTCTAGTGTTTCTACATATTCTCAGAAAAAGAAACAAAATACCCAAGATTAAAGGAAAAATAGATGAACCATGTAGATTTGACTCCACTGTGTGTGTGTGTGTGTGTGTGTGTGTGTGTGTGTGTGTGTGTGTGTGTGTAAACATCATTGGAGAGTCCTGGCTGCATCCCTGTGAGCTCTAGCCTCACGTGCTTCGACGGGTCTTCAAAAGCCTCCTTGGTTTCCTTTAAACTACAATTTTTTACTGTATTTATTTAGTCTGTGTAGGTGCATGTATGTCTATATGCATGCTGTGCTGCATGTGGAGGTCAGAGTACAACTTGCAAGAGTCTGTTACCTCCTTCTACCGTGTCTCGGCCAAACTCAAGTCCTTAGGCAAGCGCCTTTACCAGCTGAGCGATCTCACCCCGCATAGCATAGTTGCCTTTGAGCCGAGGTTAGGAAGCTGTGTTCCAGCTCAATGAACTGGGTTAAAAGCGCGGACAGAGAACACCAAGCAACTGCACCATGGCTTCCCCAGAACTCTGGTTTCTCATAACTTAGAGATGAGGGCGGTTACTTCTGTCCTCCACCTCTTACCAAGGGTTTCTGAGAGTCCAGAAGTCCCTGCGGTCAGAGCAGTTCAAAGACTCCAAGGCGAGGACACTAACCCCGTCTGCACCCTCCAGAGCTCACCGCCATCCAGGAGGGAGGCAGGACCTGCGGTGGGGACGTAATGGACCCAGAAAGTTCTGCCCTCCCGTACCCCACCTCTCTTGGTGTACGAGGGCCATTTACAGCTTCGAGTAGTCCAAGTCACTGGGCCCACAGGACCCAATCTTGCACTCTCCTCCTCTTCTCCATTCCTAGTTAAGGTTGTCCCCACCTCCGACCTCGCCCGCACCATGGCGACGGTCACACCCGGGGCTGGGAAGCAGCGCCCTCTAGCGGCGAGAGCTCTAGCCAGCGCTGCCTGCCCACATCAGGTGCTCCAGGCATCCAGGTCACTTCTGCCAAGGGAGTCCTTACTCCAGTGTCCCCATCCCCACCCTCCCCGCTGGCCCCCAGCCCGGCTGAGGAGCCCAAACACACTTACACACTCCGGTCCAGCTAGAACTCATCACCGCGAAGCCACTCGGGTGGACTGACCCGCTAGGCTTCTTGCAGCAGGCCAGCTTGCCTGTCTTCTGGAGTTGGGAGCGGTCCCTACTCCGCCCCTCCCATCCCACTGCACCCCCTGAGGACAGTTCTGGAGGAGAGGCAGGACCTTCTGGCATCTCACAGCCAGCAAGTGCACAGCATGGTTACAAGCCAAATCTCCCAGCTGGTTCTCCACCTCCCTCCCACCGCATCCTTTGGGTACCAGCACCTAAAGTCAGCAAAACGGCCGAGACCTAACTCCACTGCGCCGTCCGGCAACCTTCCCAGAGACCCAGGCCTGGATTTCTCCTTGTCTAAACTTTTGCAAGCTGCGCCCCTAATGTTCTTGTCACAGCCCTTTATACTTCACTGAGAGTGGAGAGAGAGGTCTGTAAGGGGAGGCACCAGAGAGACTGACTCGTGATTCTAGACATGGAGAAGTCCAAGTGTATGGCACTAGCATCTGCTGAGGGTCTGCTTGCTACATTATAGCATGGTGGAGAGCCTCCGTTTTAAAAATAATTACACTGTGCATCCTAATGATGACGGTACATTGAGGTCCATCACTAGATGATTTCCTGACTGTACAACCCCAGAGTCTGCATACCTTGGCCATATGGTACAACCTTGTGCTCTTGGGCCACACACCTGCACAGCATGTTACTATACTGAATACTGTAGGCAACTGTGATTCACTTACTGTAATTCAACAGTAAGTATTGATATAACGAGACACAGCGTACAGTAAAAACAGAGTCCCACAGTTTTACACTCAACACCTGGACAGAGCACTTTCCATGGCTGGACTCTCTTCAGCTGATGAGTGAGTGGTGAGTGATGGAAGGCCCGGGGCATGACTGAGCACGGCTGTACACAGCATGACCACTGTAGTCAGCCACTCTCAATAGACCATGTCCCATGGGCTGGGTTGGATCCCCAGGACCTCAGAAATAAACTTGTTTCAATGGGACAGTGGCCTTAGATCACTCTAACATTTTTAAAATTTTATAATTTAATTTTACATATCAGCCACGGATTCCCTTGTCCTCCCCCCTCCTGCCCACCTCCCTTGCCTTCCCCCCAGCCCACCCCCTAATCCCATCTCCTCCAGGGCAAGGACTCCCATGGAGATTCAGCTCAACCTGTTAGATTCAGTCCAGGCAGGTCCAGTCCCTTCCTCCCAGGCTGAGCCAAGTGTCCCTGCATAAGCCCCAGGTTCCAAACAGCCAACTCATGCACTAAGGACAGGTCCCAGTCCCACTGCCTGGATGCCTCCCAAACAGATCAAGCTAATCAACTGTCTCACTTATCCAGAGGGCCTGATCCAGTTGGGGGCTCCTCAGCTGTTGGTTCATAGTTCATGTGTTTCCATTCGTTTGGCTATTTGTCCCTGTGCTTTTTCCAACCTTGGTCTCAACAATTCTCACTCATACAAACCCTCCTCTTTTTTGCCAATTGGGCTCTTGGAGCTCCACCTGGGGCCTGGCCATGGATCTCTGCATCCGGTTCCCTCAGTCATTGGATGAGATTTCTAGCACGACAGTTAGGGTGTTTGGCCATCTGATCACTAGAGTAGGTCAGTCCGGGCTTTCTCTCACCCATTGCCGTAGTCTATTGTGGAGGTATCTTTGTGGATTTCTATGGACCTCTCTAGCACTTTGCTTCTTCCTATTCTCATGTGGTCTTCACTTATCATGGTCTCTTATTCCTTGTTCTCCCTCTCTGTTCTTGATCCAGCTGGGATCTCCCACTCCCCTAAGCTCTCTTTCTCTTGACCCTCACCCTTCATTACCCCCACTCACGTCCATGTTGTTCATGTAGATCTCATCCATTTCTCTGTCATTGGGTGATCCCTGTGTCTTTCTTGGGGTCCTGATTTCTAGGTAGCCTCCCTGGAGTTGTGAGTAGCAGTCTAGTCATCACTGTTCCACATCTAGTATCCACCTATGAGTGAGTACATACCATGTTTGTCTTTCTGAGTCTGGGTTACCTCACTCAGGATAATTTTTTTCTAGATCCATCCATTTGCCTGCAAACCTCATGAGGTCACTTTTTCTCACTCTAACATTTTTACTTTACAGCCTTCTTAATTTTTAAATTTAGCCTAAAAATAAACACCCCAGTTTGGTTGGCCCATGCCTGTAATCACAGGTGGGTAGGATGAGGCAAAAGGCTTGCATTTGAGGCCAGCCTGGAAAAAAAAAACCTACAAAGACATTGTACACATTGTCCAGCTGTATGAGAATTGTGTGTACATATATACATATAGTCTTACTCTGTAAGCTTTTCCTATTTTCTAACATTTCTGTTAAAAATGAACACATTCAATAAAAAATAACACATTAACCTAGGTCTGCAGAGGTCAAGGTCAAGGTATTACTAACATCTCCACATACTGTCCCACTGGAAGGCCTTCAAGACCATGACCCCTGAGGCACCATCACCTTTTTCTGGCATCCCTCATGAAGGACCTGCCCAAAGCTCCTTGTGTGGCACTCTTCAGAAATACGTACATGGTGGCTTGTTTGGCTTCTCTGCTGATGACAGGTGATACACTATCAGAGACCTCAGTGTGAGGTCCCTGTTCTCAAAGCTTGCTGAGGTCTGCAAAGCCTGTGAATCCTTAACTGTGGGTTTTCTTGGAGTTCTTCTGTTCTTTCCTTTTCCTCCACCCTCTTTTCCTGGGTTCTCTTTTCTCTTGCCCCTCTAGTCACTCATCTCTGTCCCCATTTCATTATAATCTCTTAAGGACCACTGGTGTACCCACAACCTGTGCCAGATGGAAATGTTGGTGGACAGCACACGCCTGTTTAAAAATGTCTTATGTGAATCAAACTTACCAAATCAGCTTCCTGTTGATTTTTTTCTTTTCCATTTGAGTTCTTTTTAAAATGTGGATATAATTTTGCTTAACCAGGATTAGATTATTTAAGTATATAAAGGTAAAATAATAAAAATATTACAAGAAAATAATCTCAACCCAAGGGAAACTTTATTAAGACAATATTGGAAACCCAAACAATTTTAATTAAAAGTTTATTGTAAACAATTTGCAAATAAGAAAAAAAATCACACATCAAAATTAGCCAGACTCAGAGTCTATGCATTTAGTAAACATCACGGAGACAGGCATTCCGAAGCTGTGGCTCTTCATCCATTTACACTTTCACTATGCAAAATACTGTTTGTACTTATCCATCTCCAAAACATCCACGATATTCTGAAACTAGTTGAAACTAGAACAAAATTAGTTTTCTATCTTTCATGACACAAGTGCCCTGTACCTGAACTCAGTCCTTCTTCATTCCCTTATATTTACCTTTCTTGTTCTCCTTTTTATACATATTTATCCACAGGTACATTGTTTACATATATGTGTATGGATGTATATAACAGGGGCTATTTGCCAGATGAGCCCAGGACAAATAGGCAACATCTCTCAGCCCCCCCCCCCAATTCCTCTCTCCAGTTAGACCTCACTTGATCTTTTTATATCACTTCCAAACCCCCTGTACCTTGAAGCTCTCTTCATCTCCATCACACTTTGAGCCTAAAACAGGGAGACAGTCTTAGAGGTCTGGAAGGCTTCATCTAATGTGTCTCTGTGCTTTCAGGAGTGTGGGACCACGGACTGGCAAAGCCAACATTTACGTGGAATTTCTGGGGTTGCTGACAACATGCAAATCCTGATGTCACCTGCCAGAAGCTGTTGTGCCCTGGCCATCCTGCTGGCAACTGTGGACTTCCAATGTGGTGGTAAGGATAGGTTCCGGGGCAGGGCAGCCATTAGAATTGGGGGCTCAGGGGAAGGATGTTCTCTGTGCATGTTTTCTTGTAGGAAAAAGTCTCAACACAAGTGTTGATTTCTCTGTGAAGATTCCTTGATTCTTTCAGGCACACACAGGAACCTGTAAGCTCCCTCAATTATAGTAAGTGCAGAATTTGGTAGTAATTTTTTTATTTTGTGGAGATAGATTAGACAGGTAGGTAGGTAGATAGGTAGGTAGGTAGGTAGGTAGATAGATAGATAGATAGATAGATAGATAGATAGATAGACAGACAGACAGACAGACAGACAGAC